GACCTACCGTAGCCCAATTCTACTAATGCTCCTATAGGTCTAGGCACCTTAAGTCTGTCTGGCGCGCAATTTCGGTCCTGTCCCTGTGAATCTACCTACTGCCTACTTTGTCCCTGTCCGAGGCACACCCATAGATTCCAGCCAACAGAGTTCAAGAGTTATAGGCGGGAGGCCTTGGGAGTCGTCACCAGAGTCTTCACCAGGCCCCCCAGTTTGCGGACCCCTACTATTCACCAAAACGCAGTTTACTGCAACCCTGGCAAAATGAACAGTGATCCGGCCTGGCGCAGGCTCGGAGGGAAAAGGTTGGTGGGGTAATAAAAAAATTGATTGAAAATGAAATAGGGGAAAAGAAAGATAACAAATGAGATACCTTTCACGGCCTTTCGGCTAAGATCAAGTGTAGTATCTTTTCTGATCACTTTAATATCTCCCTTTTTTTTTTTTTTTGGGGGTGATCACAACTGTCTATATTCTTCTCTCAACTTCTGTTTTTGTTTACCTTCCACTACCTACTCCTAAGACTATCTAGAGGGGACCCCTGCAAGCATAGTTTTCCTCTCTTTGTGAAGGGGGGATTTCATGTTGCCCCTTGCCCCTAATGGTTAGGGTATAGGGTTGGGGCCGCCAGTGGGGGTCTGGCTAACACAAAGACCGAGACCTGCCAGTAGCTGTGCCTCCCTTCATCATCGTCCCCCACCCTTCATCGAGTAGCAGCAGAGGCTATGGCCAACACTCTCCCACACACCACACACAACCCACTCGCGCTCACACTCACACCCGTGTTGGTTATAGACCCCGGTAATACCGATCAGGGGTATCCAGAGGACTATCACAGTCCGTTGGCACTAAGTGCGCCGCAGGCGGCCATGGGGCTTGAACCCACAACCTCCTGAATGCCACTTGCTTGCCTAACCAACTGAGCTAGGCCGCTGGATATCACTTTAATATCTGATCCGTGGTCAATCGGCCCCCCCTCGAAAAAAAAAAAGCAAAAAAAAAAAGAAAGAAAAGACCCAAACAAATGAGAAACTGGGCTTCACTGCCTTGCTGGAAGCGCACCTTCGTATAATTAAAGCTGCCATGATGTGCCATTCGATACAGGCAACTTCGAGAGCGCTTATGTCAATTCGGGCCTCGCTCCACCACGCAGCAAATTTAATGTGGAAAATGGAGAATGAGGCGGAATTATCCGCTAGAACATGGAAAGATACATCCGTCGTTTTTGCGTTTGTGGTGAGCGGTTGTAGCTGGCTGTTCATCTTTACTCTTGCGGTTTTTTTTTTTTTTTTTTTTTTTTTTGTGGCCCCTCTCAATTTCACCTCACTCCACCTACCACATCTTATATTTGGACCTTGCTGAGACGGGTACCACCTGCCGTGATTTTGCATGCATCTTGAGACACTGCCTGTCCAAATGATCACAATCCTACGCGGAACGGCGATCGGCGTTAGTACGACCCCAATGGCGTTCACCCTTTCTCGTGCTTTAATGGTGCCATCTGCTGTCATCTTCCATGCACCTGGCAACCGCTTCTGTCCAGGTGAATACAATCCTGACGGAATGTATGGCAGCGCGCGCAGGCCCTGAGTGGAGTCCATCCTTTTTCGTGTTTTATTGGTGGCGTTCGCCTATAGGCGGACGCCTTCCAGAAATTCTCAGCGGCCGTTGGGCCCCTGAGGGGGTTTGGAATATAGTTTTCAACCAGCAATAGACGCGTCTCGGTTAGCCCTCACGGACTGCGTCATTGCCCCAAGCGCAAAGATGAAAAACTACGGACCTGGATTTGCCTTTTGTCCTCGAGATTCCAGAAGCACCTCCAATAACCCATGGGGCAAACGGAAAGAATGGTTATGGGAGGGACATCGATACATCGGATTCCGTGAAAATGGTAACCAAGGCGAAGTTTTCCCAAGTCGCGGAGTACCTGAGAGTAGGGTATCAGCCTTTTTTTTTTTTTGTCTTTCTCTTGTAGATAGATAGTAACGGAGTGCCGCGGAATATCTGGATTCGAACACAGAGCTGTACTTTAGCAGTTCATTGAGTGTGGTGGATTCGAACACGGATCTGCATTTTAGCAGTTCATTGAGCAAGGCCCGTGGGTGAATGCCTGGGAGGAGGTCTTGGGTTCAATCCCCATCGCAGTGTATCTTTCTCTTGAGTTCATTAGCAGTGTCTATCTATCGCCTGCATGAACGAATCTGCAAAACGAGAGTGAATCTGCCGATAGTCTATGAGAAAGATACACCGCCATGATTTTTGTCTAACGTGGAAAACGACTGTGAATCTTCCTCTAGAATATGGAAAGATACACCGCCATGGTGTTTTTTTTTTTTATAACACTAGATCAGCTTTTTTTTTTTTTTTTTTTTTTTAATATTAGAAACTCCGTTTCTTTTCCTTTCAAAAGGAAGAGTAACAGGGGGCCATCCAGCGGCCTAGCTCAGTTGGTAAGGCACGCAAGTGGCATTCAGGAGGTCTTGGGTTCAATCCCCATCGGCCTCATGTACCTTCCTGGGCACGCTTGGCGCCCGCCACGTAGAGATAGTGCGTTGGCCCCCCCAATTGGCATTAAAAAGCAGTCTCTGCTGATGTTCATAGGGGGAGGGGTAATCGCGGAGGCACAGCGACTGACCTCTTAGATGATGCTCGGTCCCTCTGCTGCCGGCTGTGGTGTTCCCCGTTGGGGTTCCCTGAAGGCAATCAACGCCACCCTGGGCTGAAAAGACCACCCGATGTCAGATTAGACAGTATTGAATTTACCTGGGCTGGTTAGTCCGATGATAATACCTCAAGGCCATCGCCCTTTTCAAAAAAAAAAAAAAAAAACATAACAACCCGGTATGTGGACACCTCTGGCAGCATAAGCCAGTTTCGCTTTTGACGGGACCAAAGAACCCGTAGGCCTGGCTTCAGGGACAGCGGGTGGTCCCCACATAGCCCCTGTTTAGGCACTGCCACGGTTCAATAATTGGTGCATTGACCATGGTCCCCTGGGCGCTCGCGTGTGTGTCCTGGCGTGAGGTTGTGTCGGTCGTCCCTGTATTCAGCCGCCATCTCCATCCTCCACTTCACTCCTTACCCTGAGGCACGCACGTGCGCATCTTGGCGCCTTCTTTTTTTTTTTTTTTTTTTTTTTCCTCCAGTTCCATTTCTGGTGAATTCGTGATTGATCTGACCGTTCAGGACTAAGGAGGAAGACGAAGGGACAAGACGGATCGAAGCGAAAGATTGCGGTGAGACTCGACCATCAGGCTTCAACTGAGACGTGCCTTGGCTTCCCAATGCTATACGGCCTCGCCCTCTCTAGATCGCAACTGTCGTTTTCCCACCTAAGACTAGCATCTGCTCGCCTATCTCCGGTCTTGGATTGCTTGCTGAGACTGAATTCATTCCCCCTTCTCTCTCTCTCTCTCTCTCTCTCTCTCTCTCTCTCTCTCTCTCTCTCTCTGTGTGTGTGTGTGTGTGTGTGTGTGTGTGTGTGTGTGTGTGTGTGTATGTGTAAATACTCCAGTTCCAGACTCGCGCTGTTATTTTTTCTCTGGCACTGCTAGCGTCTGCTTGCCTATTTCTCGTCTTTCGTCGCTTGCAACGGTTCAACCAACCTAGGGGTAACTGCAGAAACAGCGCGATTTTTGAAGTTTGGCGGCAGAAATGTTGTACGGGTCCGAAAGATCTATTTTTACAAGGAAAGTGGGACCCCGTAGATCTTTGCAAGGAAAGTGGGACCCCGCCCGCACATATTTTTGCTGTGAAACTACCGGGACCTGTAAAGCTGCAAAGAACGATATATTTTTACAACGAAACTTCGTTTCCTTCTCTCTCTCTCTCTCTCTCTCTCTCTCTCTCTCTCTCTCTCTCTCTCTCTCTCTCTCTGTGAGTGTGTGTGTGTGTGTGTGTGTGTGTGTGTGTGTGTGTGTGTGTGTGTGTGCCTCTGTGCCGGACGCACGCGCCTCCATGTGTGCGTGTGCCCCCCCGCCGCGCGAGCGTGTGTGTTGTGATCTTCCCTAGTAAACACAATTCCAAAAAAAAAAAAAGCTCGACTGTGCGAGACTGTTTCGCTGGAATTTTACTGACAGTCACTCATCAACACCTTTTCGTTGGACTTTCGCTCGTGTGTGTGTGTGTCTGAAGTGTTCCTTCCGTTCTTTAGGCGAACTGGTCCCGGGTTCGAGACTACTCACAACTGTCAAAAAAGAAGAAAAAAACAAAGAAAAAGAAAGAGGAAAAGAAGGGAAAGAAGGGAAAAGAAGAAAGAAAAAAGAAACACTTGGCAGGGAAGGAAGCGACGCCGCTGTTTTTGTTTATGCCTTGAGGTCTTTAGATCGCGTCTGTGCTTCCTTCGTCGCTACGTGCCTGGTCGTCAAAGAGTGCGAGACTTACCTTCCGTCGTCTTGTAGAAAGAAAAAGAAAACGGGAAAAAAAGAAAGAAAGAAAGTTAAAGAGAAAAAGGAAAAACGAGAAAGAAAGGAAAGGAAGAAAAAGAAGAAACATCACAAGGGGAAGCTTTGATCTTAGTACCTTCTGACTTCCCTGTTTTCCGACCGTGCCCTTGCTCTTTTCCTTCGCCTCCGGTGATCCCCTGTGAGTGAGTGAATGTGGGTGTGTGTGTGTTGTCATGTTCGCTGTACACAGCTTCACAAAAAGAAGGCTGACTTTGCCAAACTCATTCGTCGGACTTTCACCGACTTATCGGTGTGTGTGCKCGTTYSTKTGTKTGTYTGTKTGTGTGTGTGTGTGTGTGTGTGTGTKTGTGTGTGTGTGTGAGCGTGTGTGTGTGTGTGTTTGTGTGTGTGTGTGAGCGTGTGTGTGTGTGTGTTTGTGTGTGTGTGTGAGCGTGTGTGTGTGTGCGTGTGTGTGTGACGGTGGATTCGCAGGAATTGCCCTGACAGAAGGGGACAGATCGGGGTAGTTCTGGGCGTATTTCTGGCCGTCTCTCTGTGTCGTAGCTGCAGGGCTTCTGTACACGCAGTTGCCCGTGACTTTTTGACCGGCGACGGAGTCGAGATAGAGTCTAGCTCGATGGCGACGTTGATGATGACGATGGCGATTACCATGCTGATGCTGATGACGACCACCATGATGCCGATTCGAGCGGTAGTCGGAGCAGAGGGGATCTCGACAGCTAAGAGAGGGAGGGAGTCCGTTGCGGGAAGGGATTGCGCACAGCATGACATCGGCGGCGACGTGCGAGGAGAGAGAAGGCTGCAGGCAGACCCCTCGCCGTCATTCTCCATCACAAACACCACTCTTCTAGGAGGTTCCCGAGTGGTTTTGACCGTTGCCAGTCTGTTCGGTACTTCATCTGGTACCCTTGCGTGTTTTACATGGGTGAGGAGAGCTGTATTTACCACCGAGAGGGGGGTGTTCTTCTTCGTGCAACACGATGACTGCTGGAATACGACTACGAAGAGCCATGTCAAGGGGGGTCGGTCTCTGCACAAGGGTGATTTGCGAGGCATGGCCAACTCCGGGGAGGCAGAGGGCAACTCCTCCCTCCTCACTCTACCATGGACGTCGCAGAATCCGAACGGCACTGCGGTAATGACGGCTGAGAGCGGGGATCCTCACTTCTTCTGGGGGTTCGATCTGTCGCGGAACGAGGGGTATATTGTTGCACCCGTTGAGTGGGGGCTGGCATTTATCAGCAAGATGGATGGGTCCAGGACCACCTACGGTATCCCCAAATTCGGCGCTAATTTCGGTGCGTTCAATCCTAACCGCACGATTCTGTACATAGCAAGACGTCGCTGCCTTGAGTGCTCTGTCATGGATGGCGAGTCTCCCGACAGCTTCGTCAGCGACTTCAGAACTGTAGCATGCGCTAATGACAACAGAAGTTGGGCCTCTCTCTCCTTCGGTCATCGAAGCTTCCTCCAAGATGGGAGCTACCTATACGCTAGGGATGACGTCAACGCGACAATTTTAGGTTTCGACCTAATTACCGGGACATGGGGCACTGTAACTGGGACCGAAATACCTAATTACGTGGCTGATAACCATAACCCTGTTGGGGTATTTAGCTCAAGGGAAATTGCGCTGACTCAAGATGGGTGCAATCTGTTCTTCGTCGCATACGGGGGGACCAATATCATGCGGGTGGCTTTCGATAAACCGGGAGGCCACGTGGTCAGGGTTGACATGGTGGCAAGATGCGTCCTGGCGGGCGGATGCAGCGTCGGGAGCATTGCTTTGGATAACGATGACAGTCATTTGTACGTGTCCATCCATACTGGGCAGCTGTTTCAAATGCCAATCAACGAGGTAGGACTGCACCGATGCAGCGGTGCATTCTCAACGTCGGCATTACCGACAAGCAGTAGTTCGGCCGATCCATCGTCGTTGGAAACTTCTTCGCCGGGAACTGCCCAAACATCACCCACTGTCAGGGGAGGTGTCAGTGGTGGCGTGATGGCTGGCGTGGTTGTGGCAGTTGCTCTGGTCGCTTTTCTTCTAGGTGGCGCTCTTGTCTTCCTCGTTTCTCGTTCTAGAAAATCAGCGATGGCGACATCTGGGGGTATGACAGCAAGGTCTTCTGCTCTCGAACCCCCGGTAGCGAAGTCTTCAGCTCTCGAGCGCCGGATTTAGGTTTGCAACTCAGCTTATACTCACACTGGCACTTTCTAGAATGCATCTGACTGCCGTCACGGCCAGATCTAGATGAATCTGACTGCAATCAGGTCCAGAGCTTTGTCCAAAAGGTCCTGGTGTGTATATGCCCTCGCTTTCTTTTTGCGTGTTTCTGGGTTCAAACTCCGAATTAGAGCAGCCTGCCTTTCCATTTCACTGTCGCTTACCCACTAGCCTGATGGCCTCGCTCCACTGCACAACACTGTACATCACTGTACATTCATTTTGTCGGTTTCTGGACCAGATGCATTCCGACGAGTTCAGCTGTTTGAAAGTATCAGGGTGCGTTGTGCTCGGGGGAAGACGGTAGCACCTACGGTAGTGGGCGAGAATTGCGGCAATGGATTTCTTATAGCTCCTGCTTGTACTCTGGGTACCACCAATTCCCCATGTGACATGTGGCATGAATGATTTTGATGAGGTTAGGACCAGAGTTTATTCAATTCTTTCTGTGTCGAACCACCACTACCTGTCCTTCGGGACATCTGTTAAAATTGGAACGATACAGAGAAGATTAGCATGGCCCCTGCGCAAGGATGACACGCATAAATCGAGAAATGGTAACCACCACTACCTCCGAGCCTCTTTTTGCTGAGGCGGAAGAGATCCGAACTAGTTGGAGTTTCCTGTTGGCCTAGATGCATAGGGCCTAGTTGCACTACTCTCCATACGCCAAGCTTGGCAGGTAGGTGCAAGGTTGCGCTTACTCGCCAAACTTGGTGCCAGAAAAAAAAAAAAAAATAATAATAAATAAATAAATAAATAAAAAATCCCAACAGAAAAACTTGGTGCAAGAAAACCTGTCAGAACTTTTTGTGGAGTTTCCTTTTTCAATTCGCCACAGTGTGGCGAGTTCCCGACTCTTCCTGACTCTCTATTGCTATTTTGTGGAGCGTCATCCTCGTGACCCCTCCACAAAACAACTTCTTGGCAGCTTCACAAGTGGAGATAGGGCAGGCAAAAATATTCAGCTTTTCTGTAGAAGAAATATTGTGGCCAGTAAGTGCAACCAGGCCTCCAGTTTGACACGATTCTAGTTTTTTTTTTAACTCTCCACACATCCGCCACGAATTGGAGAGTAGTGCAACTACACCCATAGAGTAGCGGGGTGATGCCATAGAGAGGTTGAGAGAAGAACGAAGTTAAAAAAAAAAAGGGGCAACCGCTCGTGTGTCACAACCCACGTTTTGAATGGCCAAAAAAAACAGTCGTCCGCAGGTCCGTCCCGACCGTAGTTCAAAACGGCAATAATAACAGTGGCCCGCCTTATACACATGGTGCCTGTTCGAAACAGGCACTTTTGTCTTCTTCTTTTTTTTTCTTTTTTTTTTTCCGGTATGCCGCACCACACCGCGGCTGCAATGTTTTTTTTTTTTTTTTTTAATCCGTCGTATGGTCGCGACATCTGGGGTGTGGCCAAGACATCTCGGCCGTGGCCAATCTGGGGTGTGGCCGAGACATCTCGGCCGTGGCCAATCTGGGGTGTGGCTGAGACATCTCGGCGGTGCTATGAAACACCCGCGGACGCGTCTGCGGGTCCGATCTCGGATGGCGGACGCAGATGGGGCCACGTCCTCGGCCGACCTGGTCCACACCGCGGACCCGATTTTACCAGAATTTTCCTGAATTAATTAATAGGTTATATATATATTATACATATATATATATATATATGGGGTTGTAGGGAATTTTAAGCCCTACAACCCCATATTTTTGTTTTTGGAATCCGACTTTGTTAAGGATTTTTAAAAAATCAAAAACTAAATTCGATTTAAAGAAAATTAAAAATATATATATAAAGAAAAGCTGGATTTTTTTTTTTGTCATTTTTTACCATGAGATATATGGTCCCTGAGTTCACCTGTATTTTTTTAGAAATGAATTGCTGTTTTTTGCAGGGGTATGAGGTGTTTTAAAAAAATTCAGATGCAAAATTTGAACATAAATAAAGAAAAAACTTCAAAAAAGGGGTTTGATTGATTGATTGATTGATTGATTGTGTGTGTGTGTGTGTGTGTGTGTGTGTTTGTGTGTGTGTGTGTGTGTGTGTGTGTGTGTGGGCGTCGTTCCACACTCCTCGGGGACGCGATTCCCAGGATTCCGTCGTCGTTCCACCTGTCCTCGGAGCTGATTTTCGGAACGGAAATGTGAAAACACTCCGAGGACAAATCCTTGGGCTCTGAGGATTTCCCAGCCAAATCGTCCTCGAGGTCCCTTGGAGCCCGAGGATCCATGTTTCACGGAGAGGAGAGGGAATGCACGTAGAGAGACGTTACAACCGAGAATTCTGATCCTGGCGGCACCCTATTGGCTGCAAGCCTGAAGCACAACTCTTTTTCTTTTTTTTTTCTTTTTTTTTTTCTGACATTGCTCCGAGGAAGAGTCCTAAAACAGATGATCCGAGGATGAGTGGAACGAAGACAACAAAACCCCTAAACTTTTCCGAGGATTCATCCTCGGGGCCCGAGGATGCCCCGAGGAGTGTCGAACGACGCCCTATGTGTGTGTGTGTGTGTGTGTGTGTGTGCTGCCGCCTCTGCGCCCTCGCCGGCGTGCGGACAGCGCACTTGTGTGAGAGAGAGGGACAGAGAGAGAGAGAGAGAGAGAGAGAGAGAGAGAGAGAGAG